GTGATGGGAGAAACTTGTGTCATATGTCTCTAGCATTTAGAAAGCTAGCCTGAGCTTTGTCACAGAGTGGCCAGGTTCCAAAAACAGCAAGAAAGCACAAACCGCACTGCTGAAGCACTTCTCAAGATTTGGCATGTACCACATTTGCTAATGTCTCATTAGCTAAATTAAGATTCAACAGGTTGAATAGAGTGGCCAAGTCACATTACAAAGAAATATGTATACAGAGATAGGAGGAATCTGCGGTGATTTTTCTGCAATTGACTACAAACAACGAGGCCAGTTAGTAGCACATACCATTTCCCTTTACCTGCCACTGGCTAAAACTTAGCCACATAGGTACACCTCATCTACAGGGGGAGGCTAAGGAATGTTGTCTCTAGCTAGGCAGATATGTCCTCTACGTAGGCTCAGTGAGGTGGGCAGGAAGGTTTATTAATAAGGGAGATATGGGGAAAATAGACACTGGAGGAAACAGCAATCTGCCCATAGCTAACAATTCCATTAGTCATATCCCATTTGTGAAGAGCAAAGAATCAGAAACCACTTGATTTACGAGAGGACTTTTTACCTTCAATTAGGCATCACGTTTCAAGTTGTCCCTCTGGTTTCCCGGAGGTAATTAACAGGGAAAGAGGTGAGAAAGGAGAATCCACAGAAAGGCCCGGCCATAGGGGCCTTCTCACGCAATCGGCTTTAGAAAGGGATACAAATTAAAGTTGAAGATCTGAAAATTCATTCCTTTAATTCATTGTGCCCACAAACTTCTTAGAAAGTGTTTATTATCTCCTGGGCTATGTACGTTTCAGTTTTAACCCAATGACCTCAGAATATTCTAACTCTGATCATGTTTTCGTTTCTTTTATGTTATTTTTCAACATTGTAGTTTTGGGGTGTGTGTGTGTGTCAGGGTCTCATTCTGTTGCCCAGGCTAGAGTGCAGTGGCATGATCACAGCTCACCTCCTGGGCTCAGGTGATCCTCCCACCTCAGCCTCCCAAGTAGCTGGGACTACAGATGTGCACCACCATGCCTGGTTGATTTTTTAATTTTTCTGTAGAGACAAGGTCTCATTGGTCTCATTCTGTTACTCAAGCTGGGTCTTGTCCTTTTTTGTTTTGGGGGGGGTTTAGTCAGAGTCTCACTCTGTTGCCCAGGCAGGAGTGCAATGGCATGCTCACACCTACCACAGCCCCAACCTCCTGGACTCAGGTGATCCTTCCACCTCAACCTCCCAAGTAACTAGAACTACAGGCACATGCCACCACACCTGGCTAATTTTTAAATTTATTACAGAGATGAGATCTCACCAAGTTGCCAAAGTTGGTTTCAAATCCCTGGACTCAGGCAATCCTCTTGCCTCTACCTCCCATAGTGCTGGGATTTGTCTTTTTTATTAACCCCAAAAATACATACTTTATTTTTAAATTTTGGCCTCACATTATAGTTTGACTAGGTTTTTTTAAAAAAAAGTTGCCATTTTTATAAGCACATACATATAAATATAGTATATACAACACATAATGGAAGTCCCTTTTATTGCTCCCTAAATTCCCCATCCCATTCCCAAGGTAGACACTCTCTACATTTTGACATATCTCCTTCCAGATGTGTGTGTGCACACTCACTCCCATGTATGTACCTGTGTAGACAGATACATACACAGATAAATACATACATACATACATACATACATTCCTTATTCCTTTTTTAAGTTTCTTTTGACTTAAAAATTTTTTATTTTAAAGATGTAGGGCACAATTCAGGGTTAGGTATACAAACGTTCATTATGCAAGTACCCTTGTTGATAAGGTATGCCCCTCCCTCCCCTGGTAGTTTCCCTCATCTGCCAATCCCACCACCCCTCTCCTGGCAGTTTCCCTCAACTGCCAATCCCATCCCTCCTCCCCTGTTTTCCATACTGCCAATCCATTTCTTATAGTATTATGATAATTTTTCAATGTTCGCTTATGAGTGAGAACATATGGTACTCTGTTCTTTATTTCTGTGATAGGTCAATGAGTATGATAGACTCTAAATCCATCCAAGTTGCTGCAAAGTCCATATGTACCACATTTTTTTTAGTCCAGTCCAGTTTTGATGGGCAGCATGGTCGGTTCCATATTTTTGCTATTGTGAATAGAGCTACAACAAGTATGTGTGTGCGGGTATCATTTTGGTAGGATGACTTGAGTTTCTCCAGGTATATTCCCAGTAGAGGGATGCTGGGTCATATGGAAAGTCAATTTCTAGCTTTTTTAAGTTTAAATAAAATATGAAACAGAATGCAGCAGCATATTAAAATAACAGTATACCATAACCAAATGGTTTTGTTTTCGTGTGTTTGTTTAGAATTATAAAGATATATCAATTTTAGGAAATTTATTAATAGAGATAATCATGCTACTATATCAATAAAGAATAATCACATGGTCATTTTAGTTGATGTTTAAAGGCAATTAATAAAACGTTCAATATCCACCCTTGACATTTTTAAAACTCTTAATAGAGATAAAAGTATGTCCCTTAACATAATAAAATATATCTCATTCCTAAAGCTAGCATAATGCTTAATAAGGAAACGTCGAAGCATCTCCCATTAAACTTAGAAAAAAGACAGAGGTTCATTATCACCATTATTATTTAATATTTTCCTGGAGCTATTAACCAACACAATTAGACAAAAGAAATCAGAGATATAAAATAGAAAGGGAAGTAATTATCATTGTTTATAAATAATATGATTACATGACTGGAAAATTTTAAAAATCAATGAAAAATTATTATAAATAATGAAATAATTAAAGGAAGGCAGCTGGGTATGAAATTAATATCTAGTAATCAATAGTCTCATATATGAACAGCAATGAAGAGTTAAAAGATAATGAATGACAAAGATACAAGAAAAAAACAGTTAAGAACAATTGGGAAAGGATGACATTTTCAATAGTGACAAAAAATATAAGTTACTCAAGAAATAAACTTACCTAAGAAAAGGACAAGGACTTTAATGAAGAAAACTTCCAAATATAGCTGAGACACACACTCACAATAAACAAGACTTAAAAAATGAAAAAAATATGCCGGGCTCTGTGGCTCAGCCTGTAATCCTGCGCCTTTGGGAGGCTGAGGTGAGTGGATTGCCTGAGCCCGCGGGTTCGAGACCCGCCTGGGCAGCGAGAACTCATCTCTACAATAAATCAAAAAATCAGCCGGGCGTGGTAGCGCATGCCTGTAATTCCGGCTACTTGGAAGGCTGAGGCGGAAGGATCGCCGGAGCCCAGCAGGTCGAGGCTGCGGTGGCTGGGAGCGGCCACTGCACTCCAGTCTGAGCGACAGAGTAAGACTCCAACTCAAAAAAAAAAAAAAAAAAGAAAAAAATATCATGCTCTTGGATCAAAACAATGTCACAAAAATTTCAATTCTTCCTAAGTCAAATATGAAATGAACGTATTCCAGTTTTTAAAATTTCAACAGGACTTTTTCTTGGTGGTAGATGGTGGGAAGGGAGAAACTAGACAAGATGGTAATAAAACTCAGATAGAAAAATAAATGTATAAAAAATTGTTTTTCCCTTTTGAATTTTGAAACCAGTGAGTGTAATTACCTATTCAAAAAGTTACAAACTACAAGTGTTTAAATATATTTCAAAAACATACATACACACAGAGGATTTTAAAAATAAAAATGTTTACATATATATCTCTGCAATTTGCCTTGCCTTTTTTGATATAATGATATATCTATTTTTTTGTTTGTTTGTTTGTTTGTTTTGGGTTGGAGTCTCATTCTGTCACCCAGACTGGAGTGCAGTGGCCGCTCCCAGCCACCGCAGCCTCAACCTGCTGGGCTCCGGCAATCCTTCCACCTCAGCCTTCAAAGTAGCTGGAACTACAGGCATGCACTACCACGCCCAGCTAATTTTTTTTTTTATTTATTGTAGAGATGAGGTCTTGCCTGCCCAGGTGGGTCTCCAACCCATGGGCTCAGGCAATCCACTCACCTCAGTCTCCCAAAGATGAGGGATTACAGGCTGAGCCACCAAGCCCGGCTGATATAATGATATATTATAGACATTCCTTCAGGAATAAACATATAGAACTATCACATTCTTTTAAATAACACATAATATTTTATTGTATGAATGAATCAAAATGTACTAAACCATTTCCCTACTGATGAAATTCAAGTGTTCTTTATTTTTATATACATGTATAAACTTTTTATATATGGCTAAAAAAACTTACCCTAATATATATGTATTAGAAGATATAATGGGTAAAGTAATAAAAATATCATAAGAAAATTATACCCTTAGCCTGAGGGAAATTTTCTTAACTAATATAGGAAATACAGACAACTTGAAAGAAAAAGATAGTTACGTTGTATTTAATTACATACAAATGAAAAATTTTCTTGTGAAAAAAAACATTATAAACAAAGTCAAGAGACAAACAACAAATTGGGAGAAAGTATTTGCTTTAAAAAATAGCAGATGGGTTACTATCTCTGATCTAGAGAAAACTCCTAAAAGTTGGCTTTAAGAAATGCAAGTATGAACACACAGTTCACAGACGAGGAAATACTAATGACCAACAAGCATATGAAAATATCCTCACTATTCATAGAAATGCAAATAAAACAACAGTGAGGTCTAATTTTTTGTCTACCAGATTGGTAACGATGTAAAATACAGATAATATACGGTGCTGGCAAGGGCATAAGGAAACATGCACTATCAAGTATTCTTGTGAAATATGAATCTCAACAACCTCCTTGGGGAACAATGTGGTTATAGCAGAAAAATGTTAATGTTCATATTATTTGACCTAGTAATCCAATTTAACATTTAAAAAAATGTGAAAATTAATTCTCTCTCTCACTTTCCAGCAGGCTGAACTCTCATGCCTAAACCTGGCTCATACTCCAGCCAACCAGTTAGCACCTGGAACGGTAACGTGGTCTCGGAGCCCTAGAAGGCTTTGCGTAGAGTGTCCCCCTTTCAGGAGAGGAGGCCAAGGATACCAGCAAGCCAACATTTGCTTCAAGTTCCCGGGTCTGCTGACAATGTTCAGGATGCTGATGGCAGCCGGTAGAGGCTGCTGTGCCCTGGCCATCCTGCTGGCAATTGTGGACATCCAGCCTGGCGGTGAGGATAGCCCCAGAACAGAGACAGTCAAGGGGAGAATCATGGGTTTGTGGGGAGGAAGAATCCCATGATTTTTTTCTGGTGGGGAAGAAAAGGACTCACTCTTCCTGAGACGAATGAAAGGGTTAAAAAATATAGTGTCTTTTTATTTTTTATTAGAACTAATACTATTGCCTTTCCATCAGACACAGTCTCTGGTGTGGGTAGCAAGGAACCTGGTAACCTACGCTTCAATCTAACACTCTTTCAGGCTGTTACACACTATACATTTATGAAATCTACATTTGAGATCGAGATAGTCTTTGTTAACGTTAGCAACCAATGTAACCACTCTCGTGCCTCAGTTTGTGTATTTATAAAATAACAACGCCTGTCTCAACAGCTATACTGAGGATTTGATATTGAAAAACACTTTAATAGAGGTCCTATGGAAGTTCCAGTTGGAGAGTAGAAATAAAATAGAAACCATTATCTTAATTAATGAACAGCTGGGATTATAGGTCTCCCTCGGATATGGGTCTAGCTCATAAACCTCTCTTCAGAGAGCGTGGCATTTAGTATGGATGGGGTAGTCCCCCTTTCTGCCGCCTCAACATTTTCATGTGAGTGAATTTAGTTTACCATTTATACAAGGAAAAACAAGTCAGAGGGGTCATCATGCCTAGGGAGTGGGGCGGGGTCATGGCAGCACCAGCGCTAGCATGTCAGGTAAGTTTTTAGCAGAGACCTGGATTTAACCAAGACTGGGGTTTTGGCAAGGAATCCTGATAGAGGGAGCAAAGGAAGGGAGCAGAGAGAAGATATAAGGGGGAGATTACAGCAATGGACCACAAAATGTAAGCTGCACAAGAAAGTGTAGTTGGGAGGACACTGAGGGACAATAGAAAGGTAGAGGGGTTGATGGGTTGGAAAATGAGGTCAGAGTCACAGTATCATGCTGGGTTAACCCAACTATTTTCTCCACTAACATCCAGGCTGTAGATCACCTGTGGAGAAAATCATAAAGTCTGCAGGTCTGCACGGTCAGAGAGTCAGGGTCTTTAGACATCAATAAGCCTTCACTCATTTGTCTGTTTCTCGTCAGTTCTTACTCCAATTCCACACGATGACCAATTTTAATCTTTTCTGGTGTCTCCATGGTCTCTCTCATCCTCTTTGAGTTGGGGTCTCATTCTGTTGCCCAGGCTGGAGTTCAGTGGTACGATCACGGCTCACTGCAGCCTTGACCTCCTGGGCTCAGGCGATCTTTCTCAGCTTCCCAAAGTGCTGGGATTAGAGGCATGAGCCACTGCGCCCAGCTGAAAAAGGTTTTCATAGAAAAACTTTTACTCATCCTTTAAGTCTCTGGGACTTAAGCAGTAGCTGGGACTATAGGAGCACACCACCACCCCTAGCTAATTTCTGATTTTTTAATAGAGATGAGGTCTCACTTTATTGCCTAGGCTGGTCTTGAACTCCTTCCACGTCGTCCTCCCCAAGTGCTGGGTTCACAAGCATGAACCACTGCACCTGGTCTAAAAAGGTTTTTGTAGAAAAACTTTTACTCATCCTTTAAGTCTCAACTCAAGCACCAACTTCTGGAAGTTTTCCTAATTCTTCCAGACAGACTCAAGAATCTCTAAGATTCTTCAATTAAAGAATGAATTGTGGTTTTGTGTCTTTACATGAGGCAACAAGCTCTAAGACTGGGTTCATGTCCTATTCATCACAGCCCCGGCTTCACAGTGCTTAGCAGAGTAGATGCCTAAACATATTTGTTAAGTGAAGGAACAAATAAACAAATCTGTGGATGAAAGGAAGCTTTGAGTTTATCTATTGAGTCCCTTAATTCTCATTTTCCACATAAATACACTATTGCCAAAGGAGACAGATAACTTGCCTATAGACAGTTGGATCTTGCATTTCCTGTTGTCCAGCATTGCTGTCACATGTGCTCCAGTCCTTCCTTGAAAACTTCTAGTGCTAAAGAGCAGTTATGGTGAAATTCAAAGCACTCTACCTGGCCTCCATGGGTAATTCTTCCCTTCCCATTCCAGGATGCATACATATCACCAACTCAGCATCCCAGGAAGGAAAGCGACTAAACTTGATCTGTACTGTCTGGTATAACAATGAAGAGGTTGAGGGGTTGATAGTGTTTTTGTGCAAGAACAGGTCTAGGGACTGTTCCCCTGAGACCAGCTTGGAACAGCTGAGACTTAAACAGAATCCTGGGACAGACGGTGCCGGTGACAAATCATCTCAGTTGGTGTTCACCATAAACCAAGTCACGCCATCGGACAGCGGGACCTACCAATGTTGTGCCAGAAGCCAAAAGTCAGATATCCACCTTCAGGGCCATTTTTTCTCCATTCTAGTCGCAGGTGAGTCCCTAATACTTTTATGCCACCAGGTGGGACAGCAAGCAGGGTTAACAGCTGGATCTGACACTTTCCTTGGTGGGACGAGTCCTTCCTATTATTCAATTCTTTTCCATCACTCCCGCTGGTGGATGCTGCCTTCCTTCAAAGCACATGTACAAACATAATCTCATTTTGTCTTTAATTTTGAATCTTTCTGGATGGCCATTCCATTTATATATATATATATATATATATATATATATATATGGATATTTATTTTATATCTTTTTTGAGTCAGAATCTCACTCTGTTGCTCAGGCTCCATGGAGTGCAGTGGCACGATCACAGCTCACCACAGCCTTGACCTCCCGGGCTCAGGTGATCCTACTGCCTCAGCCTGCCAAGTAGCTGGGACTACAGGTGGGCACCACTACGCCCAGCTAACTTTTTTTTTTGAGTCGGAGTCTCACTCTGTCGCCCAGACTGGAGTGCAGTGGCATGCTCACGGCCACCGCAGCTTCGACCTGCTGGGCTTAGGCAGTCCTTCTACCTGAGCCTTCCAAGTAGCTAGAACTATAGACACACGCCACATCATGTTGCCCAGGCTGGTCTCGAATCTGTGGGCTCTGGCTATCCTCTCGCCCCAGCCTCCCTAAATGCTGGGATTACAGGCGTGAGTCATAGCGACCGGACTAATTTTTTTATTTTTTGTAGTGATGAGGTCTCACTATTTTGCCCAGGCTGGTCTCAAACTCCTGGGCTCAAGTAATCCTCTTGCCTCAGCCTCCCAAGGTGCTGGGATTATAGGCGTGAACCACTGTGCCCAGGAAACAGGGAGACTAAGTCACAGGGAGGTGAAGAGACTTATCCAATGCCACCCACTGACCAGTGCCAGTAAAAGCAGATAGCATTCGGGCCTCCTGATTCCCAATTCAGGTCACTCCAAGAAATGTGACTGTATTTCTAAATACAGACAGACAGAGAGATAGGTATGAGACAAAATGGATATTTGTCATAAGGAGCATTTAGTTGTAAGAAACAGAAACCCACTCAAACTATTTTTAAAGGGGGAAAAATAAAGCAAAAAGTACAGTTGGCCTTCATGAGTTTCTGGAATCAGAAGCCAGAACGCCTACAGGACCCAAATGGCTGCTCTCTGTCTCCAAGTCTCTGAGGCATAAGACCCCTCAGTTACACTTAGCTCTTTTATTTTGGACATGCACCCCCACTCTCACCTGACTCCATTGCTATTCTGACACAGTCTATATATGGCCACTCCAGCCCCAGCTTTATATGCCTTACTCAAGTCATAGAAAGTGTTTCTGTGTTCCTATATTCCCAAACAACAGAGCAAGCCTTCAGAATTCTGTGAAAAATTACTTTCTACCTAGAATTCTATATTCAGTCAAACTACAAATCAAATGTGAGGCATACAATGACTCAAAAAAAAATTGCTTCCCATGTGATCTTTTTTTAAGAAGGTACCAGAGGATATGCTTCAGTAAAACAGGAAGGTTAATCAGTAAAATGGATACAATGAGATCCAGGAAACAAGAAGTCTAACAGGGGAGGAGAAAATTCTAGAATGAAAAAAAGAAAAGACCAAAAAGTCAAGAGAAAGAGGGCTCTGGAAGGAAGTTCTCTAGGGGGTAAAAATGGACTTAACAGATCTTTCAGAAGTCCCAGGAGAGACCTGATAAAAGAATAAAGATAAGGAAATTTAAAAACTCTGCCAGTAAAATAAAAAATCAGGGCTGGGAGCAGTGACTCATGCCTGTAATTCCAGCATTTTGGGAGGCTGAGGCAGGAGGACTGCTTGAGCCCAGGAGTTTGAGATTAGCCCAGGCAATATAGTGAAACCCTATTGCTACAAAAATAGAAAAAAAATAGCCGGGTGTAGTAGTGCACACCTGTAGTCCCAGCTACTCAGGAGGTTGAGGCAGGAGGATTGCCTGGCCTGAACCCAGGAAGCCAAGGCTGCAGTGAACTGTGATTGTGCCACTGAACTCCAGCCTGAACCATGGTGTGAGACCCTGACTCAAAAAAAAGAATAATATGAAATAAAATCAGGTGATCTTTATCTCTAGAAAAAAACACTAAATTTTACACAAGAAATACAGCACACAACTTGATTCTGCAGAAAATAACACAGAATCTGAATTGTTTTAACATGACTAAATAAAATTTGTGATATAATTATTTTTGGAAGGATGCAGAGAAGGAAAATGGGTGGACCAGGTGCAGTGGCTCATCCCTCTGTAATCCCAGCACTTTGGGAGGTGGAAGTGAGAGGACTGCCTAAGCCCAGGGGTTCCAGGCCACCCTGGGCAACTTGACAAAACCTCGTTCCCAGAATAAATTTTTTAAAAAATTAGCCGGGCATGGTGGCACAACCTGTAGTTCCAGCTACTTGGAAGGCTGAGGAGGAAGAACACCTGAACCCAGCAAGTCAAGGCTGCGGTGGCCGTGACACCCCAGCCTAGGTGACAGAGTGAGACTCCGACTCAAAAATAATAATAATAATGGGTGGAAGTATAAGACAACCATATTCTCATCTACTATTACGGAAAGTCAACAGACAATGTGCAAATGATGACATTTGGCAATGAGCATATTATTTAGGAATATTATTTATTATTTAGGAATATAGTAAAACGTCTCAAAGAATGACAGTGTTGGTCTCTGGGGAATAAGCCTAGGAGGATACGGGCACTACTATGATTCCTTATGAACTTTCAACTATCTTACTGTTTAAGAAAAATAAATATAAATTACACTCTCTCCCCCATGAAAAACTGGCCCAGAGCCTTTGAACAAAAGTTTTCATCATCTCCTATGGTTCCTAGTTAACTCAAATGTCCTACTTCAGTCTGGTTTGATATAGACCTTCTTCCTTGCTTCCTGGCATCTTCCTGACTGAGCTATATAGCATTGAGGGCTATTTCCTCCCTCATCAAGCTGTTGTCTCTGTTGGCTTCTGGGACTCCGGATTCCCCTGGTTCTCTCCTGTCTGGCTGTTCTTTTCTCCTCTCTGCACGTTATTTCCTCCTCACTTCTCAGATGAGTGTTCTCCAAGACTCACTCGTCATCCCTTCAACCTCTTCTTTCTCCTCTCTTTCCCAAGTTCTCATCTACCTATGACTTAAATCTCTGCCTCCTTGCAACTGGCAAGCAGATCTTCTCTTCCAAGCTCCTTCCCAAGTTTTAATTAAACATTTGCACTGATAGCTGTATTCCTGACTCCTGGATGCGCTACCATCTCATCTCATCTCAAACTCAACCCTATCCTCCTGAGACCTTATTTCTGTCCATGATTCACAGTCAAAACTTAGGTTCTGCGGCCGGGCTTGGTGGCTCAGACTGTAATCCCGCACTTTGGGAGGCTGAGGTGAGTAGATTGCCTGAGTCCGCAGGTTCGAGACCTACCTGGGCAACTTGGTAAGATCTCATCTCTACAATAAATCAAAAAATTAGCCGGGTGTGGTACCATGTGCCTGTAGTTCCAAGCAACTTGGAAAGCTGAGACGGAAGGATCGCCGGAGCCCAGCGGGTCAAGGCTGTGGTGACCAGGAGCGGCCACTACACTCCAGTCTAAGCGACAGAGTGAGACTCCAACTCAAAAAAGAAAAATAAAAAACCTTGGTCCTCCTCTTTTCTTATTCTCCATTTAGTCAGTTACTAAGTACCACTTGTTCCTTCCCACATTTACTCCTTTCCTTCCAAAGGTGTTTTCTAGGTCTTCATCACCTCGCACTTAATATATTCCAGTAGTCTCCTAAGTGGTGAGTCCCTGGAGGTCACCAACTGTGTCTAATTCATCTTTGTGTCTCCCACACCTACCATAGGATCTGGCACCAAACTGCTGCCTAATAAATGGTCCACCAACTCTAAATACTGTCTCCCTCGCCCAGGGTGGAGTGCAGTGGCACAATCAATGGCTCAACGAAGCCCCAACCTCCTGGGCTCAAGCAATCCTCCTGCCTCCAGCCTCCCAAGTAGCTAAGACTACAGGTGCACATCACCAAGCCCGGCTAACTTGTTTTTTAGAGATGAGGTCTCACTATGTTACCCAGGCTGATCTTGAACACCCAGGCTCAAGAAATCCTCCCACCTCAGCCTCCCAAAGTGCTGGGATTATAGGTGTGAGCCACTGTGCCTGGCCAGATTTACCTTTCTAAAATGCTAATTTAGCTAGGCGCAGTGGTTCACACCTGCAGTCCCAGTTACTTGGAAGGCTGAGGTGGAAGGATTGCCTGAGCCCAGCAGGTAGAGGCTATGGTGGCTGTGATTGTGCCACTGCACTCCAGCCTGGGTGACAGAGTGGGACTCTGACTCCGAAATAAAAAATGTAAATTTGTACACGCCATACTGCCATTCCAAGTTCTAATAGCTTCTCACTGTCTATGGGATAAATTCTAAATTACTTTAGTGTACTGGAGACTCTATACATCCATCCTACTATTTATGTGAATACTCTGCTCCAGTTAAACTGCACTAGTGGATACTCTCATTCATCTAACAAATATTTATTGTGCATCCCAGGAACAGAGCTAAGCCCTGGAGAATAGGATGAGGTATAAAACACAGTCCTTGCTCCTTGTAACCTAATATTCCTAATCTAATTTATCCTAAATGTTTCTACTACTTGTGAAAGTTCTAAGAAATAATGCCTTTCTCATCCTTTCAACATAGTTAAGTACTAGAGTCAGTACATATGGATGGTCTCCAAATGTGGAAATTAGGATCCCTTTGGAAGGTGAAACTAGTAAGGATACTCAAGTCCAAGGTGACTAAGCTGTTTTAGCTATCTCTCAGGCAAAACTTTAGAGTTCCTTCAAGGTCTACTGGCATCCCCAGTGTCTGACACACAGTGTAGTTTCTATATTTATTTATTGCTGCATAAGTACATCACCATCGTCACCTGCAAATATTAAAAATATTTATTTGGGCAATGAATTTTGCTGGGAGGTATCCTTGGCAATCATAAAAGGGATGTTCTGAGATGATGCAAAAGGAGATACTAATGATTTCCAAAACCCTCCCCTGACACATGATTCTCTTTTGAACCAGAGACAGGGAACTACACAGTGACAGGACTGAAACAAAGAATACGCTCTGAGTTCAGCCATAGTGAAGGCACTCTCAGTTCAGGCTTCCTACAAGAAAAGGTCTGGGTGATGCTGGTCACCAGCCTGGTGGCCCTTCAAGGTATGTCCTCCTTAAGCATCCCAAGCAATGAGGGTGCTATTATGCCTCTGCTACTTGGTTATTCTCCAGAGGTTGGAAAAGGAAGCCCAGAGGGAGAGAAGAATGCTTCTCAGGCTTGGCTAACCACAGGAAAATTCAAACCATTGTAAGGGTCAAACTGGTCCAAAGAAAGGTACTAAAGACTTCACATATGCAAATGAAGACAGAAGAATCACACCTTCCAGTGGGTAGGAGATAAGACCAGTTAGTAAAGGCAGGTGGGAGATGCAAATTGATACAGCTGCTCTACTTGCCATGCACCAAGGACTACAAGTTGAGGCAACAGATCTTTGGCTTTTACATGAAGATGAACAAAGCAAGATACAGGCTTAGTCTGGAAGTGGGTTTTGAACAAGGCAACTCAGCAAAGACTGATGACCAGACTGAGTATATGAAATGCTTGTAGCTGAGTCCTCTGAATGCCATTTAACAAAATGGATGAGGGCTTTCCCTATTCAATAACAGATTGGAACTTACAATGATTTGCCATTATGTTTTTGCACAAGTAACTAACTCAAGTTTTTGTCTGCCATTGGCATTCTTAATTCCAGTTTATTTAGTCTTTTCTCAAATCAGTTAACTATCACTGTTTGGCACCAGAATGTAAGCTCTATAAATACAGGGACTTTGTTTTGCTTATGCCAACAAAAAGTCCCAGACACATAGTAGGCTCTTAATTAATTTGTATGATGGGTCAGATGCTGTGGTGATTCTAATCTCATACAACCCTTCCAAGCAAACATCTCTGATTGCTCATCAGGAAACAGACATGGAATCCAATGTTGCCCTTCACAGTAATTAACACATGTCCTTCTCACTTCAAAAACCTTAAACACGCTTAAAGGCGCAATGTACCTCTCTCTTGCCTCCTTCACCACCCTCCTCATTCTTGGGTTGCCTCCTGTTATTTTCAGAAACAACCTAACACTCCCAAGTCCAGTCCTTTCGCTACAAGTCATCAAAAGAAAATAGCTTATCTTTGATCCATGGCAGCGACCTGACAAATGTGACCCTGTGTCAGTTTTCAGGAAGAACCATGAATATTTTCAGGAAGAACCATAAATATCAAGCAGTCTGACCCTTTACACATAATTTTTTACTGACCCTAAATTCCCTTGGTTAGGCTAGTTATCAGTAAAATAAATTTTATTTCATGCAGAATAAAAATTCTAAAGAGAAAATTGAGCCTAGACATATACAACCTACTACCAATTACTGCTTTTACTCCCAAGTCATCCTAAAGCAAAAAAATTTCTGAGTTTTCCCCTTTTCCAGTCAGGTGAAAAGAAGAATGTACTTTTGAATCCAATTATTTGTTTTCCCCTATATTCGATTCAAGTAGCTTTAAAGTTAACAAAAGATAAAGAAAAATCAAAGCTAAGTATTTGATTAGCTTCCTTTTCTTTATCCCTTTCCCCCAACTCAAGGCTTAGTAGAATTATGGAAACAGGTAGTGTTCAGTAGAACAAAAATTACACATGGTTTCTTAGGCGCAGAAAGATCAAGTTATCACGCTTACATTCAGAAAAAGGATGAGGGAGTTTCGTGTGCCTTCCTCAGCTCATGAAGCTAATTTCCACAAATATCTTTGTCCTATCACTGTACCAACAATTCAGGGCTGTATATGGAAAATCTACCTTCAACTTTTTGAGTAGCATCTGTTTCTTCTTTGTCCTACCTTCCAGCAAAGAGAGCTTAAAGGTTGGCTCTCTCCACCCGACATTCACCAGGACCAGTTAGATCTGCTCAAGATTACAACCCCAACTTTTGAAATAAGGTACAACACATATAATAGTTCCTACTTTCCTTTCTAATTCCCACTACAGTCATGAGGGCTATCAAACACACATCCCACCTAGACAGATCAGACTTTATGTCAGGTATTTTGTTGTTATTCTACGTTGTAAGGCAGTAATACAATCTTTCTTTTTCTTTCCACAGCTTTTTAAGCCTTGGGCCCAAAGAAACTCTTTTAAAAAAACTTATGGCAAGATAAGTCTGACTCTGTTTAGCTTGGCAACTTTCTCATTACAATATGCACAGAGAAGAAAGAAACAGGGCAAGGGGAAGAGACACTAAATATGCCAAAAATCTGAGGAAATACAAGCTGGGGCAAATTAGTGTCCTCCCTAACTTTCCCTCCTCACTGCCAGAGCAAACCTGCTTTCTCGCCTCAGCATCAGCAAATAAAGAGAACAACTTTCACAAGAGTGGACAAGTATGTGTGTTTTTCTACCCCAGAGAAACTTTTCCTCCTTTTCCCCTCAACACAGTAAAATAAGCCAATCAAACCAAAATGAGAACACCATTTTTTACAAGAATTTTTTATTTAACACCAAAAAGCAAAGAGAAGAAACAAGCAAAGATAGGGTAGGAGAAGCAGCGAGCCAGACCCAGTGACTGACTCAGCATGAAAATGAGGAAACAAAGATCTCGGTGTACCAGGTGTACCATGGATTAAAACTGCCCAACTCTACCTAAGTACTTGTCAACCTCTTTGGTCATTTCTCTTTTTAAATAAATGATCACAGCAGTATTTGCTGCCCTTTCTTTTCTCTTGGGACAGATGACCTCTTGTCATGCATAAGCAAAGAGAAGGGGACAGGGTATTTCTGATAGGAAGAACTACAGAATAAAGGGGTAGGAACACAATTTATCTGAGCTACATAGCCAGCCATCAAAAGAAAACTGACACCTTACCTGTGATCCTTAGCAAGAACCTGCCAGATGTGGGAGTTAAGATTTATGGGAACAGAAAGAGTTAAGGCTGAAGTACATCAGTAAGACCCTTATTAGGGATGATCTTGAAACTCAAACTAAGGATTTGGGGCTTTGTGTCCTATGGAGGTAAAGGGCCTAGGTATGGAATCAGAAAATTTAGATTCAAGTTCTGGCTCTGCAATGTCCCAGTTATGTGTTCTTGGGCAAATGAAGTTGTGAGACACTATTTCTGCTTATGTCTCTGTAAAAAGGGATATTGCTATTCTCTCTTCTGGTTCCCAGGAATGTTATGAGGATCAAATTAGAGTCTGGGTTTGAAATCCAGAGCCATTTGAATTCTGACTCCAAAGTCACCAAAGCTTTTTCTACTATATCACATTCACTTTAATCTTTCTCTACCTATTTTATGTTTCTAACCAAGAAAATATTACGCTCACACTAGTAGAGATATCTTTTGGTTTGTTTTTTTGTTTTTGTTTTTCTTCGAGTTGGAGTCTCACTCTGTCGCTCAGGCAGTGGAGTGCAGTGACACATTCATGGCCACCCCAACATTGACCTGCTGGGCTCAGGCAATCCTTCCACCTCAGCCTCCCCAGTAGCTGGGACTACAGGTGCGCGCTACCACACCCAGCTAATTTTTTTGATTTATTGTAGAGATGAAGTCTCACCAAGTTGCCCAGGCTGTTCTCGAATCCATGGGTTCAGGCAATCCTCTCACCTCAGTCTCCCAAAGTGCTGGGATTACAGACTTGAGCCACCATGCCTGGCCTTCTTTTGGTTTTTAGTATTCAAAGAATCTTCTGAAACTACTCAGCCTTATACAATCACTGGAAGTCTCAAAAAGAAGATATGTCCAGCCATAGGAAAGATTTCATCCATTGTACTACACCAATTATAGTCACATATAAAAGTCTGTGACACAGCCAGGCTTCATGGCTCAGCCTGTAATCCCGTGCTTTGGGAGGCTGAGTTGAGTGGATTGCCTGAGCCCGCGGGTTCGAGACCCGCCTGGGCAACTTGGTGAAACCTCATCTCTACAATAAATCAAAAATTAGCCGGGTGTGGTAGCACACGGCTGTAGTTCCAGCTACTTGGAAGCTAAGGTGGAAGGATTGCCAGAGCCCAGCAGGTCGAGGCTGCGGTGGCTGGGAGCGGCCACTGCACTCCAGTCTGGGCAACTGAGTGAAACTCCAACTCAAAAAAAAAAAAAAATCTGTGACATATAATCAAAAGAAAGATACATGATTGTTGCCCAAGTTTATCAAGACATTCAAGAACATTAGACTATTAGCTCTCATTTGAACTAAGCAGAATAAACAAAGCAACCATAAATCAAAGGTCTTGCTTCTAAATAATTTATTTTTTCTGCTTATCTCAAGATTCAGTTAAACAGAAATTTGAAATGCTTATATCTTGACTTTAAAAATGTGCTGATAAAAGCCTACAGATGTAAATGAATGGTAAGTAGTTTTCTGGACATACATCTTAACCCCAGTCTAAATGAATGATTGACAACCATGGGTTTTGAACCTCTGTGAGGCCATGAGGTTATCAGAAGGAATCTGTACACCCACAATCTTCAGTCTGAATAAATAATATATCTCACAAATATGTATATACTATATTTCAACTGCATGTGGATACTGGCATGACTAATAAAGACAAATTGATGTAAGAGCATTACTGAAATCATAGCAGCTTTTTGTTATATATTTTTTCACAAAAAATACTAAAAATATAGCTATCATGTTGTTGGAAGATAATTTAATAATTTTGGGGCCTTAAAAATGGTACTTTGCCGGGCTCGGTGGCTCAGCCTGTAATCCCGCGCCTTTGGGAGGCTGAGGTGAGTGGATTGCCTGAGCCCGTGGGTTCGAGACCCGCCTGGGCAGGCAAGACCTCATCTCTACAATAAATCAAAAAAATTAGCCAGGCATGGTAGCGTGCGCCTGTAGTTCCAGCTACTTGGAAGGCTGAGCCGAAGGATCAGTGGAGCCCAGCAGGTCGAGGCCACGGTGGCCGGAAGCGGCCACTGCACTCCAGTCTGGGTGACAGTGAGACTCCAAATCAAAAAAAAAAAAAAAAAAAAAAAAGGTACGTCTTAGGCCAGGCACAGTAGTTCACACCCATAATTCCAACACTTTGGAAGGTCAAGGCGAGAAGACTACCTGAGCCCCAGGGTTCAACACCAGCCTGGACAACATGACAAGACCTCGTCTCTATAATAAATAAATAAATAAATAGTTCAGGCATGGTGGTGTGCACCTGTAGTACCAGCTACTTAGAAGGCTCACCTAAGCCCAGCAGGCTGTGGTAGCTGCGATCATGCCACTGTACTCCAGCCTGGGCGACAGTGAGGCTCTGACTCAAAAAAAAAAAAGTTACTTCTTATTAGCAAAGGTAAAGAACAACAAGCCTGCATCCCATGATTCACAGATCTGAGTGTCCTAGCTGAAAGGAAAGGCAACATACAGACTCCACTTCTGTGGATACCACATGTAATTTGGCAACAAAACAAAGTTTATTTGCATAAAATCTTATAGAGATGAGTGCCTATAATTCCACTTATCTGTGGCAAGCTTGAGAGATAAAAACTTCATAATGTCGGCTGGATCGGACAAGTGCATTATTTTCATCCTGAAAAGTTATCTCCAGTTGTACATGTTGTATTCTACGCATTTCATTTTAAACCCTCAGAGCAGCCAGGTGGCTCCCAGTCTTAGTGCTGAGACACTGGCATTACTGCAAGCTAAATTCTCCCCCTATAGGATGACCACTTGTGATATATTTACCCCATCAAATTTTTCCTCCAGCTGCCCGCATCAGAACTCGTATGAGATCTACTTTGGAAACTCTCAGTAAGAGTACTCTCTCCTACTAGTTGTCCCCAATTCCCAAATCTCCACTGGATTATTTTTGTAAACAGCATGTTTATCTTCCCATCTCTTTCTACTATAGAGGCCTAAAAGCATTTTCCCCTAACATTCAAATATCTATTTGAATACCAGCCCTGCTCCTTTTCCTAAAATCTGGCTTCTTTTACAGATGTCAGTGGCCTGCCTAGATTAGCTCTAGCAACCAACTCTGAAGCGCCCCTCATTTCTTAACCCCCAAAGGCTATCTTGTTGTTGTTAGAACACAGACTATACTTTCACTCTGATTAACTATGTTAAGATTGATGTATTTAATTTGTATTCCTTCAGGGAATAGCACCTAGAAACTAGGCAAAAAGAAACTGAAGCATGGAGAAGGTCATGTGTGGCTCAATTTGGTACCAACAATTTATCAGGAAATTTAAAATCAACAGGTAACTGTACTGGAGATCAACAAATTATAATTTAGAATGAATGAAAACTTTTTCCTCAAAGTCATTTTCTTTCGGAAATGACTTGGTTTTTACCTCCAATGAATTCCTTCACCACGAATCACATAACAAGATACCTGCCCAAGCCAATAGTGCCCCATAACAGAAAATTCATGGAAACACAGAACCTAAAGGGATGTACAATGAGAGCATCAGACTGGGAGGCTCCAGTCTTCTTCTATAGCCCTGCTCACTTAACCTCAGTGACCACCAACATCCCTTCTTCCTCCAGTGTATAATGGGTATAAGTGTGTTTGTGAATACATAAACATTTATATACACAGATATATATACATATACACATATAAATATGCCATTCAAAGACATAAACAAGTAATTTTTTTCCTAATAACAATTTAACCAAGCTGAGACTGGATGGGGAAAAAACAAGTTGATCTCCAAAAATCTTCCTTCTAATTTGAGAACCAAGTATTGGACCAGAGTACTGCTCAAAGAAAACATCTAAGAAGCACTAGTCCAATTGTTACACAACAAATGCTGACAAAATTTATAATGTGCAAAAAGAAAGTTATTTATTATTATTTTTCTTAAGTTGAAGTCTCACTCTATCACCCAGGCTGGAGTGCAGTAGCATGCTCACAGCCATGCCAGTGTCAGACACCTGCTGAGCCCCGGTGATTCTTCCTCCTCAGTCTTTCAAGTAGCCATAACTACAGGTGGGCACTACCATGCCTGGCTAATTTTTTTATTTATTGTAGAGAAAGGTCTCACCATGGTTGCCCAGGTTGGCCTCGAACCAGCAGGCTCAGGCAATCCTCTCGCCTCTGCCTCCCAAAGTGCTGGGATTACAAGCTTGAGACACTGTGCTCGGCAAGCTATTTAATTTATAGCCATTTCTACATTCTCTACCTAATTACTTTTTCTTATAAATAAAAGCATTATTTTAAGGACAGGGACAAAATGTCATTCTGAATTCTTCAGTTTTCTCAACTCTTCAGAGAACAGGCAATAGGAACTTTGAGGAAAAATTATTTATGTTTTGAGTTGGAGTCTTACTCTGTCGCCCAGGTTGGAGTACCGTGGCACACCCACGGCCACTGCAGCCTCAACCTGCTAGGTTCTGGTGATCCTTCCGCCTCAGCCTCAGTTGGAACTATAGGCACGTGTCACCATGCAAGGCTAATTTTTTGATTTAGTATAGAGACAAGATCTCACTAAGTTGCCCAGGCTGGTCTTGAACCCCTGGGCTCAGGCAATCCTCTCGCCTCTGCCTCCCAAAGTGCTAGGATTTACAGGCATGAGCCCCCATGCCTGGCCTGAAACTTAATTTCTAATGCCAGATTATTTCTTCTCCCTGTTAGTGAGTTAGGAAACTTATTAACTCTGAAACTTTAAAGATGTTGGAGATATCAGTTAAATGTCCACGTCTCTGCCCTTCCCATCCAACTCTCCAGTTCTGTCCAGCCAGAACTAACCCATATTCAGATGAGTTAGATTAACCTATCTGGAAACTACCAGAAATAAGGCATCACTCTATATAACCTTTCAACTTCCAAGTCTACCAATCTCTAGGAAATCTTTCCTAGTTATGTGCTAACTAGATAATTTTCTCCTTTCTTGTTTCAAATTGTGACGGAGAAGAAATATATACACACAAACACACACACATATATATGACAATTACAATAGAAAAGACAAAGAAGAAAAGACATTTAGAATAAGAAGACAATCTGCTCAGTTCTGCTGAATAGGTCATTTAATATGAATGTAAAGGCCTCAAGTTCACACTTTTTAAAAAAACTTTATTATAGAGATGAGGTCTTGCCAAGTTGCCTGGGCTGGTCTTGAACCCGTGGGCTCAGGCAATCCACTCACCCTGGCCTCCCAAAGTGCTGGGATTACAGGCTGAGCCACCAAGCCCAGCCAAGTTCTTAGGACTCAAGATCTGAAATACCAAGTTTCCTCTTCTCTTTGACAATCAGAGAAAATCAACTCTACCTTGACTCCTATAACTCTCCAAATTTCTGAATATGTAAGCCTCCCAGCTATAAAGGAATGAACATCTGAAAGTCCAAGTTATCTTGTCTTCTGGCTTGGGCACTATATCTAAACTGCATTGGAAACATTTATGGGCAAGGCATAAGAAATAAATGCTTAACTCCATGTTCTGGTGTTAGATCAAGGAATCTAAACTGTTTAAAATGTTTCTTCCTAGAATGGGCGGTCTTTCAGGCTTCCAGGTTAATTTAGGTTAAGGAGGGGAAGGAAGAAGCTGTGCATGCAGCAAACTGGTCAGCATCCAATATATACTTCTTTCACCATAGTATTGAGGTCTCTAAGTCAAGACAGATATTTCTCATACAGAAACACTATTCACTTGGTAAAACTGAAATGGGACAAGAAACACTGTGTGCATTTCTATCTTTCCTCCCTGTGATGGTTCATTTTATGTGTCAACTTGACTAGACCACAGGATGTCCAGATATTTGGTCAAACGTTACTCTAGGTGTGCCTGTGTTTTGAGATGAGATTAATATATGAATCAGTAGACTGAATAAAGCAGATGGGCCTCTCTGATGTGGGAGGGCCCTTATTCAAATCAGTTGAAGAAGCCAGGTGGCTCAACCTGTAATCCTGTACCTTGGGAGACTGAGGTGAGTGAATTGCCTGAGCCCGCGGGTTTGAGACCCACCTGGGCAACTTGGTGAGACCTCATCACTACAATAAATCAAAAATTAGCCGGATGTGGTAACGTGCACCTGTAATTCCAGCTACTTGGAAGGCTGAGGCAGAAGGATCGCCGGAGCCCAGCAGGTTGAGGCTGCGGTGGCCGGGAGTGGCCACTGCACTCCAGTCTGGGCGATAGAGTAAGACTCCAACTCAAAAAAACCCAAAAAAACCCCAAATCAGTTGAAGGCCTGAATAGAACAAGTAAAGGGAAACTCCTCCTGCCTGTCTGCTTGAGCTAGGACCTCAGTCTTTTCCTGCCTTTGAACTGAAATAAAAATAGCTCTTCTCAGGCTTCAAGCCCCTGGCTTTCAGATGGGAACACACTATCAACTCTCCGGCCTTCAGTCTTTAACTACACCACTGGTTCTCCTGGGTCTTCAGTTGGCTCACTGCAGATCTTGGAAATTCTCATCCTCCATAATTGTTTGGATCAATTTCTTATAATAAATCTCTGAAGAACCCTAACTCCCTAACATAAATTAACCTGCAAGTCTGAGGTGCCTCCCATTATAGGAAGAAACACTACAGACTCATTAAGCAGGACAGGTCTGGAAAACAGCAAAATGAGTCTCACATCCTCGATCAGAGCAAAAAAAGTTAAGAAAATGTCAGGTAACTTGGTCTGATAATGTCTGCTATACTGTATATAAAAACAAGATCCCTATCCATCACTTTATTTCCACCCTTTTGAGGCTACTGAGATCCCGTCTAGCTCTCTAGGCACTAGTTCTCTAGCTATGAGTAAAACTACAACTGCTTGTCCTGGTATCTTCAAACACTGACAGACAAACAAAAAATTTCAGACTGTCATAATTTTTCTGAGACAGCTGACATCGTTCTACTTGAAAAATGCAATGTGCTCCAATTTCATATAGCCTTCTTCCATCTAATTAGTGGCCAAATACTCATAATAAACCTCTCGCCTCCTCCCATCCTCCTCATCCCCAATTCAAAACCAATGTGTGTTCTCAGGCTACATATCACGGGCTACTCATAGTAAACAGATCTCATTCCGCAAAGAAACAATCACAGCAGAAGTGTAAATTGAGAGATATGTGAGAAAACATCATGTATTCCCTCTGGGTCCAACTTGAATCACACCTTCTGGTCACAACTTTTAGAGTCAGAATATTAGTTCAGTGGGCCACTCTCTCACTTCTTCTGTTCCCTCCCTGATACCTTCACCTATTACCAAAGTGCAAACAGAGATATCTCTAACCCCATTCCCTCAACCCCAATCAGTGTATGATAGTCAACAAAGCCTGAGGAAAGATTCCTAGCCAAGAAAGAGACCCATCAGAGTAACATTCTTGTTCTGATCATTCCGAAAGATAAAAGGCTGATGTGTCTGTACAAATGGTGCCCCTCTGTGCGCCATTAGTGCCTTTTTTTGGTACACCAATAGCTGTTGTGTGTCCTCATAGTTTCCTTTTGAGACTGTGAAGTTCCAACGATATTTTTTACCTTCTTTATTTATTGAACTTTAAACACTTAAATGCTACAACGAGCATGTGCATGGGACACCGTCGGGCTAAAAAAATAAGGCCTACCTCTCCCAGGCTGGGGTGTTTTGATCATGACCACATTAGTCAGTCTGACTCCAGGTATAGCCAGAACCAAGCAGAAGAGGGAAGTTTTAGAAGTGAAAAATAGACTTAAACAATTAAAATGCGACTGTGTATTAATATCCTGAAGACTAATGAATTACTGTAAACAGTGAATTGGCTATAGAAGCAGTAATGAAGTAATTCTATTTCTGTGAGGAAAATTGTTTCAAGATTTCTAGGACAAAAGACAGTAAACAACAAGTTGGGAATCATTTTTAAAAATCTGAGAAGCAAAGATTTCAAACATCTGTCTTTCTGTGCCTATACATTGCCCAACTCATTCCCAAAAAGGAACCAGAATCAGATCCCTACTAACATAAAACTCCTAAGACATGTTACATCAGTTTCTGGGGAAAGTGCATCTCCTGAAGTAGTCTTTAAAAATTAAAATAAGAAAACCAAAGCATATGATGAACATCTACTGTTCCCTTCCCCTTGTAATTTTTCTTTGATTTGTTCTCTAGGGATCAAGACAAAACAAAATCTTCTTAGATTCCTGAATAAATTTGACCTCATTTCATGGCTAACGTGGTCAAAAGTAGATATTTTTATACAATTAAGACAAAGGACTTTATATCAGCAGGACTTCAGGGCTCTGGTTCTACTATACTTTCTATAAAATACACTAATGGTAGGGTAGAGGTTGGAGAAGGAGGTGGAAACATCCTTTACAAGGCAACATGATAGATAGCAGGAACCTAGCTAGACTTTAAGGACTTGATTCTATTCAGGCAGGGGAAAACCCACATAATTAAGTTTCACACTTATAAAAGTATCACTCTGAATTCAGGAATAAGAGGCATTTGGTTGCAGATACAACTCTATCTGTATATACTAACCTTAAATTTAGAGAAGAAAAACACTCATTGCATTAATATTATGGGTTGGGTTTCTTACGTGATTCCTAAATCCATCTACTATTATTTTGTTTTGATATAATTTAGAGCTATGGTAAGAAGACTACCACAATCCTGGTTCAGGTGTGGTCTTTAGCTTCAGAAAGTCCATCGGTCATGTAGCTGGCTGTCATTGCTAAATCTGTTGCTTGCAGAGGCCTCAGAGCTCTGGGTTTGCCGAGTAGAGTCCTCACCATTTAAACTCTTCCTACATACAGGACATGTGTCATGCTGAAACAGAAAAATATCGGTCCATGTGAACAGCCTGACCTGAGAAGGTGGGAGTACTGAACACTTAAATAACCCTGAGAGTTGGCATATCAAAAATTATGACTTGGCAACTAGAAAAACAAAAAGGGCATGCACAAAACGTGTACTGGGCTCTAAGGTGTGATACCAGGATATCTTCCAAACAGAACTTTAAGCAGAACTGAAAGAACTCTAGGCCAGCAACTTAACAATAGCTAACACATACCACCAAACAGAACTAACCAGAAACAGAGATATGGCAGGAGGGTAACTGCCTACCACTTCCCATATAGAACAGAGCAGAGGTGAGCAAAGATTTTGCTTAAATGGACAGGGTGTAAATATCTTAGGCTTTGCAGGTCACACCACGTCTGCTGCAACTATTCAACTCTGCAGATGTAGCACAAAAGTAGCCATGGACAATCTGTAAATAAATGAATGAATATAACTGTGTTCCAATAAAATTTTATTTACAAAAACATGTGACAGGTCACAGTGGCCTGTGGGTTATAGTTTGCCAACTCATAGTCATAAAAGTTCTAAACAAACGGTAATTCAACAAAACAGCAGGGGTGGTACTAAGAGTTAGGTAGAGATTTATGGGATAAAATCGGATCTACTTGGTTCTCCATAAACTGTTAACTACATCTTTATTCTGAACCATCCCCCACAAGAAAATATGACTTGCTGTACTCACCAGCTCTAACCATGGCACAATACAACTGCTGTGAAAGAAGTGATTGCAAGGTAACTGCCGGACTTCCTCTTTAACTGTGTAATCTTCTTTGCATACTGGACACTCTAAACCCATATCTGTTAGAGGACAAAAATGCCTTTTTAACTAAACAAGCAAAAGGAAGGAAGAAAAAAATTAGCCCAAAATCTAAAAACCCAAGAAGTACAAAGAAAAGGTGCCTCCAAGTGGGAGGCAGATACACGAATTACATTTCAAAACAGGAGTAAAGGTGGTAGAGTAGACAAGGACATGAACGAGGAATGACAAAGGGGGCCTATTCCCACAAGGCCTAGAAAGGAACTACAAAAGGCTGACTTTTCAATGCAAAGAGTTGGAAGAAATTAATTGGGGCTTAGATTATGTGTTACGTAAAACAAGACAACATCTAAATAAGTGACAGCCTTCTCGCAGTTTCCACTTAGGAAACACTGGCAACCTGTCCACCACAACCAAGGGACTCATTCAGCATCTCAAGTCACTTTTACCATGCTCTTTTCTACATTACACATCCTCTTTCAACACAGCTGCCCAAAAGTCTTCTGTGGAAGTTGTTAATTAAAAGCTGTACCCGGAAATAGATTCAGAAGATCATTTTGAGAAAGACTTTCACCACTGATTACATAGAGGGGAAGCCCATTTCCCTGGGAAGAAACAACCACAAACACTGAGAGTTCTAAGTAGCAAGTCTGGCTAATAATACCAGCTAATCTATATCCCTAGTGACTAGGATATGCTCCATGTCCCAAAAGAGGTCAAAACACTGCGAGCAGGAATGCCACTTAATAGAGTCACTCCTTCTTCTCAGTTCTCATCACCTTTGCCCTAATTCTAACTTTTACCTTTCATGTCTACTGAGCTACAACAGCCACCCTAGGTCAGTATCCCTAAATCCAGGGCTTTAACCCTCCAAATATATCCTGTAATTGGCTACCATATAATTTTCCCTAAAACTAGCTTCACAGCAATCCTCAGCTCCTGTTCACTTGAATTCTCAGTGAGCAACTCAAAACCAACAAATTAAAAACATACCATCTCCTTACCCAAACCAGGGAACTCACTATGTCCTCATCCTGGAGATGGCACCACCTTTATAACTGCAAAACTGTGAAATCTTTGGCCCTTTCCCCTCCTCTTCATCCCACTATATAATCAGTGGTGAACGCCTTTCTCGGCTGGGCTCAGTGGCTCAGCCTGTAACCCCAGCACTTTGGGAGGCCAAGGCAAGTGGATTGCCTGAGCCCTCGGGTTCGAGACCAACCTGGGCAACTTAGCAAGACCTCATCTTTACAATAAATCAAAAATTAGCCGGGCATGGTAGTACACGTCTGTAGTTCTGATTACTTGGAAGACTTAGGCAGAAGGATCGCCGGGGCCCAGCAGGCCGACGCTAGGGTGGCTGTGACCATGCTACTGTGCTCCAGCCTGGGTGACAGAGTGAGAAAAAAAGCCTTTCTCAAAATGATCATCTGAATCTATCCTTTCCTTCCTATTATCATTGTCACCTTCACCAGAACTCCACCTAGACTACTGCAACAGCCTCTTAAATCCCTGTTTATTTTCTCTCTCCCTTCCAATTTACTTCACACACTACCTCCAGACTAATCTTCCCTGAAGACCACTTAAGTTCCCTCATTCTTTACTTGGGGACTTACAAGACTTACCTACTATATAAAACATCCAGTCCTAACCTCTCTTGCAGTTTCAAGGTCTTCTATAACAATGCTTCAACCTTCCTATCCTGTCATACCTCCCACTACTCCCCAAATTACATTCTGTTTCAGGTCTAAAAAAGTCACTCTCCTTTTTTTTCTTTTTTTGAGTTGGAGTCTCACTCTGTTGCCCAGGCTGGAGTGCAGTGGCATGCTCATGGCCACGGCAGCCTCAACCTGCTGGGTTCAGGTGATCTTTCTGCCTCAGTCTTCCAAGTAGCTGGAACTACAGGCATGCACTACCATGCCTGGCTAATTTTTCAATTTTATTTATTGTAGAGATGAGGTCTCACCAAGTTGCCCAGGCTGATCTTGAACGCCTGGGCTCAGGCAATCCTCTCGCCTCAGCTTCCCAAAGTGCAGGGATTATAGGCGTGAGCCCTTCCACCCAGCAAAAAGTCACTCTCCTTATACCCAACTCAGATATCGTGTCCATGATGATAATTTTATATTGGTTCGTAATTTTCCTTAAAGAATGACCTAAGATGACCCATTATATCTTTAAAATATTCCCTGACTCTAAACCTGAATTTATAAAGAAACTTCTACTCTAAAAATACTGTCTTTTATCACTGAATTCTTTCAGTGCTTATAAATAGAATATCTGTCTAATGTACCTAGCTGTACTTGACACAAAGTCCCAGCCTCCCATCCCATTTTTTGTCTTCCTCTTTCCCCAAAGTCAGTAACATCGGTCCAACACAATTTTTAATCATGTGATGAGTTTGCTTCCACTAATAAGTTCAACTTATTAGGATCAAGTCTTATGTATCTGTATACCTCTTTTTTATTTTCAATAGCACATAAAAAAAGAAAGGAAAGTAATTGCTGGGGAAATACCTGTTGACTAACCTAATAAAAGTACAGGAACCTTCTAGATCCAGTACCCAGGTAGCAATTTTAGGGGGCTATAGCTTCATCTAAAGATCCTTAGTATAGGAAGGTACTGGGAATTTGAACAGAGATCAGAAGATGACAGAATAAGTATAAAAATGAACATACCAACTTGTTCCTGAGTTACTGTCACTGTTGGAAGAGATAAGATCTTTTCTTTGTCAGCTGGGGGAGGCCCTGTGTTTTCCAGTTGTCCTAAAAGCTACAAGAAAAGAAAAAGAAAAAGAAGTAGCAGATATCTCAATATCCCTGTAGAGGGAGCTGCTCCAACTGAGAACAAACAGTGCAGATATTAGAAACGTTAGTTACTCTTACTTCTGCAAGGCTCTGAAAGGCTTGGATTTCCCTTTTCCTGCTACCAGAACACCCACAATTACTTTACAATTTCAGAGTGACATTAGCATAAGCCTATAGACAGAGCCATGATCGCATGGCCTATCTTTGGGCATAAAGCAATTTCACGGGCAGCAAAAAAATTGTGATGTCACGAATGAAACTACAGCTTAATAAAACATAATACTTATAGCCAGTTCAAAAACTTCATTTTGCTGGAAGGAAGAAAAAAGTGGGAATATGAAAAGTAGCATAAAGTAGGCCATGAAATAGGTAAATTACTGCCTACAAGGAGACTTGGATATAAACGACATGCTTTCTATTCTCAGTAATCCACAAGGGAAATGAAAACAAATCAAATTAAAATGAACATAAACAAGTAGAAGCAATTATAAATGGCATGGGAATACTTTTTTTTCTGCTTCCTTTCCCTACTTTGCTCCATCTAGCAGAAATTCCTGCTTCAACATGTGAGACCTCCTTTTTTGTGAAGTACTTGTTAATAGGATCCTCACAGGACTGAACAAGAAAGGCCAAAAATATACGATAGTGTTTGTTATAGAAAAAGCCTTTTCTTCCTATGGAGGTGAAACCATCTTCTAGAAATCCCTTGGTCCTAGGAAGTGCATGGATGCTGAGTTAAATCCACAAATTATTAATCCCTTTAGTAAAATGGAAACCCCAAAGCTCAAAAATATTAGAGAAAGCAGAGTGACTGCCATTTCAGAAAGTAGGAAAGCAGGAAGCCTGTGGAACCATGAAACACACCGAACAGACACCTTCAAAAGGTAGCTCCTCACCTGGGTTACAATGGCATCAAGTCCTGTCTGACCCCAGGCATAGTCCCCAGGGTTAGAGTGCAGCATCCCGCTCCTATACATGAGATGAGACAGATAGCATTAGATAGAGTGACCAGGCTCTGCCTTTTACCACAGAAAAAAATTGGCAGAGGGATGTGTTCTCTCCGAGCTGGAAAGTCACTAGTCCTCTAGAATCAAGAGGCAAAGAATTTCTCTATATTTTCAAGATCAAACAGATTATCCAGACATCGTCTCTCTTTCTCTAGGAATTTTACTTAATGAAACATAAAATGAGAAGCTATCTAAAGTATCACAAGACACATCAGAGAAAAAGACTGAGTCACTGCCTATTGGTTAAAAACAGTTGTCTTTTCTGTGCCCACTTATTTAAACATAGATGGAGCTGTTTTTTTTGTTTTTGTTTTTTTTTTTGAGTTGGAGTCTCACTCTGTCACCCAGACATGCTCACGACCACCATAGCCTAGTCCTGCTAGGCTCAGGTGATCCTTCCACCTTGGTCTTCCAAGTAGCTGGAACCACAGATATGTGCCATCACACCCGAATACTTTTTATTATTATTATTATTTATTGTAGAGATGAGGTCTCACTGCCCAGGCGGGTCTCGAACCTGCAGGCTCAGGCAATCCACTCACCTCAGCCTCCCAAAGCATGGGATTTACAGGCTGAGCCACCGAGCCCGGCTGGAGCTGCTTTTTAAGGAGAGTTTTCCCTTCATGACTAGTCAAAATCTACAGCAGACTTCCCTCCTTCTAAGAGGCTACCCATGGTCCTGGACAATGAGGAGCCTTTAGTAGCGAAGCAGTCACAGCAGTCTCTCTGAATCACAACTCAGAGCAATACAAAAAGGATTTGGTAGCACCTCTTTTCCAGAGCTGCTGGTGCCCTACCCTGGATGACAGAGGTGCAGACTCTGACTGAAATATGTTTAAATGAACTAGAGGCTGGAAAATAGGGAAACTGTATGGAAGGACTGAGGTCATTCTGAGCGAAGAAAACTTCTGGGGCAGAGTCAGAAGTGGCAAACAATTGTCCAGACAAGAAATTCCATCTTTAACTCCTACCACACATTCTAAATGATACTGATTATACTGATACTAAGTTACAGCTTTTTGTTTCTTCTGACAAGCCTTATTTTGGGGAGGAAAAAAAAGGTAAGCGTAAGTTTTCAATCTCAGAAATTCTTAAGGAATAAAATCTTCCCGAATGGTATAGAGGGAAATCCACAAATCAGATGCCAAGCCTGGCAAGGACCGTCTCATTTCCCAGCTCAACACAATCCTCAGCTGAATATATAAAAAGAATCATACGTTTCCAGCACCCAAACATCCTGAGGAACCAGTAAGGCCATCCTGAGAGCAACAACAAAAAAATAAGCTCAGCTTAAGTTTGGGATCAGCAGTCTAAGAGCCCTCCAGTCACATCTACACACTCACCTATGCAGCTCTTTCTCTTTTTTCTCTATAGCACAGAAACTATAGCACCTAAAATGATGCTGTTCAAACAGAATAAGATAGAAATCAATTAGTTACTTACCAAGAAAAGGGGTGTGGGGATCCAGGAATTGCAGAATTTGCAAAGAATCCTGCAAAGATCTGTTGTATTATTCTGGTAGAGGAGAAAACAATTAGATAAGATAATGGGCTAATGAATATTCTCTATAGATATCCATGGCTGACTAGTTACAAACTACTTCCCCAAACCAAAATGGCTTTTCACTATTACACAAGAGGTAGCACCAGAAATCAACCTGCCACCTGGTGGTATGCTATTTTGAGCTCTGCCATCTTATGGATTCATGGATTTTTATGAATTAGGCTGGAAAGGAATCTGATGGTATGGTATAGTTTTCAAACTATGGTATCAAAATGAGGAAGGGCTGAATAGGATACTGACCCAGTGAAATTCTGGGCCCACTTCCCTTCAACAAGGGCAGTTCCAATTTTATATGTTGTATACACTGGGTTTCTGTATGTCACTTAAAGGGTCCTTTTTAAAAAAGGTTTGAGAATAATTCTATCTCAAGGATGTTTCAGATGATTGTAACAAACATGCTTGTCGTTTGTTATTCTAATGCTAATGATGGCACATGTACCCAATTCTTTATCCTAATAAGTCTTTGCTACCCAAAGATACACTGAAGTGATGCTTCAGCAAAACAAAAAAGTAAAGAAATTGTTCTCCTAGATCTCCTGTATCCTGAATGATGTGCACTTTTAACCCCCTGGTCTCCACTTTTCTTAAGAGTCCAATCAATGGCAGTAGCCAATATTAGACTTCTCCTGCTACTAAAGTTCAATAATAGCTAACTACATTATTCCCCGTTTTTTGTTTGCTTTTTTGTATTATTTTTCATTATATATTTTGTTAATTGACACCAAGTATATATGCTTATGGTATACAATGTATTTTGAAACATGTATACACTGCAGAATGACTATATCAAACATATACATTACTTCACATATCTATGGTTAAAACTCTTAAATCTGCTAGCAATTTTCAAGTGTACAATACATTGTTATTAACTACAGTCACCACGTTGTACATTAGAGCTCTTGAACTATTCCGCTGTACATTAGAGCTCTTGAACTATTCCGCCTAACTAAAATTTTGTATCCTTTGATCACCTGGCAACTACTATTCTACTGTCTGCTTCTGTGAGTTTAACTTTTTGAGTTGGAGTCTCACTCTGTCATCCAGACGAGTGCAGTGGCCGCTCCCGGCCACCGCAGCCTCGACCTGCTGGGCTCCGGCGATCCTTCCGCCTCAGCCTTCCGAGTAGCCGGAATTACAGGCATGCGCTACCACGCCCGGCTGATTTTATGATTTATTGTAGAGATGAGGTCTTGCTGCCCAGGCAGGTCTCAAACCCGCGGGCTTAGGCAATCCACTCACCTCAGCCTCCCAAAGGCGTGGGATTACAGGCTGAGCCACCAAGCCCGGCGAGTTTAACTTTTTTAGAATCTCTCATGTTTGCTTCAAAATACATCCAAAACTCATTTAATAATCCTCCCTTGAGCATGGGATTTAGTGACTCACTTCTAACAACAAAATATGGCAGCAGTGATCATCTGTGACTTCTGAGACATGATGAAAAAGTAACACACACAAAAAAAGGACTGCCTCCTTCACCTCTCTTGGATCACCTGCTCTGGGAGAGTATACATCAAGCAGTCCTGTGGAAAGGTCCATGATATGAGGAACTGAGTCAGAACAAAGCCAGAACACAAAGCTGCCAAGTATGCGTAAACCCTAGCCAATCCTGTAGTTAGTTGACTGCTGCAGTAGCTAACACTTTGACTCATAAGGCCCTGAGTCAGAACCACTCAGCTAAGTTACTCCCAAGTGAATCTGTTCATGACCCATTGAATCCATGAGATAATACATACTTGTTTTTTTATTTATTTGTGCATTTATTTTTTTGAGTCAGAGTTTCATTTTGTCACCCAGGCTGGAGTGCAGTGGCATGTTCATGATCACCACAGCCTCAACCCGCAACCTGCTGGGCTCAGGCAATCCTTTTATCTCAGCCTTTCAAGTGGCTGGAACCACAGGCTGGCTTGATTTTTTGATTGACTGATATATAAAAAACTGTAGTGACGAGGTCTTGCCAAGTTGCATGGGCTGGTCTCAAACTCCTGGGCTCAGGCATTCCTCTTGCCTCTGCCTCCCAGAGTGCTGGGATTATAGGTGTGAGCCACCATGCCAGCTCATCTTTGTTGTTTTAAGCCACTAAGCTCTGGGATAAAGGTGCTGCCATAACGAAGACCTAAAATGTGAGAATAACTTTAGAACCAGCAGTAGGCAGAAACTGAAAGGACTCTGAGGAGACAGCATTAAGTGTTAATAGCTCTGAGTGTTAAGTTTGAAGGGCCCTGAAAAAAAAGTAGAAGCACTATGGCCTTTGAGAAAGTTAAGGGTGAGAGCTTAAGAGGATGTGAAAAAAAAAAATCTTAATGGAAATGTGGTGTTATGATATAGATGCTGGTTTTCATTGACAGTTCCTGGTTCACAGCCCCCATGACCCTTGCTGCCGTCTTGTTAGAATGTTGGGTGTCTTAGGTCTCAGGCAGCCCTTAGAAAACACAATCTCTGATCTTCTGCTCTACTTTCACCTGCCCCTGGACTCCAATCTTTCCCATCTTCTGATTGTGAGTCTTAAAACCTACAACCCAAGGGAGGGTTCTGTCCTACATATAGGGGCAAGGAATAATGAAGTCGTGAAGTTTACCATAAAAACCCAAGAGGACTGGGTTCAGGGAACTTCCAGACAGCCAAACACGCAAAGGTTCCTGGAGGGTGGAGTACCCAGGGAGTGCAGTGGAAGTTCCACACCTCTTCCCCAATACCTTGCCCTCTCCATCTCATCTGTGTCCTGTGCAATACCCTTTATAATAAACTGGCAAACGTGTTACCCTGAGTTCTGTGAGCTTCTCCAGAAAATTGATTGAACCCAAAAAGGGAGGTTGTGGGAACCTCAACTTGAAGCTGGTCAGAAATCCCAGAGGCTCAGACTTGTAACTGGTATCCAGGAGGAAAGTAGTCTTAGACTGAGTCCTCCACTTGTGGGATCTGACACTATCAGCTGGTATCCACTGCTTAGTGGTGGGGAGAAACCCCCACATTTGGTCACAGAAAGTTGTCTTCTTGTTGGTGATGGCTGCAGTGTGACAGCAGAGGGAAAAACACTGCTTGGGAGTTTTTCCCGTGAGGAACTGGAAGGAAAGAGATCCTTGTTATGTACTGGCAAAAGACGCTGTCTGTCATACATGGAAAACAGAAGTTGTGGCTTGTGAGCTGGATGATAATCCAGCGACACACATTTCCAGTGTTGAAGGTACCTTTTGACTTCTTGTTGCTTACTTTACAATGCAAGAAAAGAGAGATACATTAAAGGAAGGACAGTTAAACAAAAAGGAGTTTGGACTGTATAATTCTAAAAATTCCCAGCAACTCCAAAGAGTAAGTGATATAAAATTAGGAAATGTATTTCAAACAAAGATCAAATCCACTGCCAAAAGACTGGTTTAAGATGAAGCCAAGGGTGAGGCTAAAAAAACTTTGTTAAGACCCCAGAAAGACCTAAAATGGTATCCAGAGAACCATCCAGTTAGGCAGATGAGGAAGTTTAAGGGTGTTGTGTTAGTTTCCTAGAGTTGCTGTAACAAATTACCACAAACTGGGTAGCTTAAAACAACAGGAATTTATTCTCTCACTGTTCTGGCAGGTTTAGTAGGGTTAGCTACTTCTGGAGATTCTAGAGGAGAGTCTATTCCATGAACCTCTCCTAGCTTCTGGTGGCTGCCGGCAATCCTTGCCATTCCTTGAAGACACATCACCCCAATCTCTGCCTCTGTCTTCATATAGTTTTCTTCTTGTGTCTTCTGTCTACATCCAAATTTTCCTCTTCTTATAAGACTATCAGCCATTGAATTAAGGCCCTCTCTGATTCAGTATGAACTTATTATCATTTGGTTACATCTGCAAAGATCCCATTTAAAATAAGGTCACATTCACAGAGACTTTACCAGGGAAAAGATTGAACATATCTTTTGGGGGAATACAAAATACCACTACAGGTGGTGTCCCACAGCAATCCCAGCAGAAGTCCAAGGATGGAAGAGATGAGAAGGGATTTGTGGGTGTGGTTTTGGTCTAATGGCATGAATAAGGATTCACTGAATACTCAAAAGTTTTTAAAAGAAACACTGCCAGCTTAAACTGAAAGGTCAGAGACAGTACAAAATGAGAACAGGTCTTTGGGCTCTCAAAACTTCTCCATGCAAGAAGCAAGCTAAGAAACCTATGCAGCCGGGCTCGGTGGCTCAGCCTGTAACCCCCGCCTTTGGGAGGCTGAGGTGAGTGGATAGCCTGAGCCTGCAGGTTCTAGACCCGCCTGGGCAACTTGGCAAGACCTCATCTCTACAATAAACCAAAATTTAGCTGGGCGTGGTAGCACGCACCTGTAGTTCCAGCTACTTGGAAGGCTGAGGCGGAAGGATCGCCGAAGCCCAGCAGGCGAGGCTGTGGTGGCCGGGAGCAGCCACTGCACTCTAGTCTGAGCAACAGAGTGAGACTCCAACTCAAAAATAACAACAACAGCAAAAAGAAACCTATGCAGCTGCAAATATATACTACTTTTCATGGAAAAGAAAGGATGACTCATTGGGTGGACTTAAGACTCCAGAGGGTAGAAATAAGAGCCACAGATAAGCACTCCTGGATATGGGTAGGGCTAAGTGCTAATCAAGGAACTTCTAACATTTGCCCAGGCAACTATCAGAATTGCTATGAACCTGCAACTTCTTTGTGAATCTCTATACCTGTTCAAAATCACTGCCTGTCCACATCACTGTATGTTGGGTATGTAATGGGCAGATAATTTGTCTCTTTAGTTTACAGGTGTTCGCATCAAAAGGAACTGTATCTGAGGAACTATACCAAAGAAGCCACACTCACACTTAGAACAAATCAAGAACAAATACCTAGACTTTATGCTGCTACAGCAGAATAAGGCAACTTTTGGTAGATCCTGGGAGGAAGTGAGCGTATTTTGCACATTGGAGAAGTAGAAATAATTTGTGGCCAGAGGGCAAAATGCAGTA